TAATATGAATTTTGGCTGAGAATTCAGTGGAGAGGCAGAGCTCGAGCAGGTCGATGACATCGTCTTGGTCTAGTTCGGTTGTGATTTTCCATGAGTTGTTGTTAGTAAGTAGTTCGTTCGTGACTTGTTTGGCTATGTTTAGTGGTATGGATGTGAAAGTGACACTACATCGTAAGATATCATGATTTCGTCTGGTTTTAGTTTTACATTTTTAATATTGGTGAGGAAAGTTGTGGCATTTTGATAGTATGATGTGATGACTTGACTAGTGGGTGCAGATATAGAAAGATATTTTGATAGTACATACGTGGGAGATCCAGGAAGAGATACAATAGGTCGCAGCGGGCTGTTTTCAGAATCTTTGGTAGTCCAGAATTTGGCGGTGGAGGAGTCGTTGGTCGTATTCTTTGTAGACGGTTTCGTTAAGTTTCTTTTGTCTTTAGTTGTTTTAATTTCTTGTTGATGCTGTTGGTAGTGGTTTTGTTGGGGTCTGTTTGTAGAGGTTCATACGTGTTTGTGTCTTGTAAGAGGGTCTTCGCTTTGTTGATGTAGTCTGATTTGTCCATGATTACAGTTTTGCGTCCTTTGTCGGCTGGTAGTATGACTATGTCTTCGTCGTTCTGTAAGTTTCTGATAGCTTTTGTTCTTGTTGTTATGTGACTGGTCTTTATGGTAGAGGTTTGTCGTTACTTTGTGGCGAATGTCTTCTTTGATTTCATCATTTAAGTTGGTGAATTTCAGTGATTGATAAGTTGGTGAATTTCAATTACCCACGAAACTTTATCAACAAAGTATTAAAAAAAATGCACAACCAACCACAAACTGAAAAACCTAACGAAGATACAGACGAACCAGTAAAAATAGTAACATTACCATATATAAACGGAACATCAGAAATGACGTCAAGACTACTCCGACCATTCAAAATAAACATCGCACATAAACCAACACACAAACTCAAATCATACTTCACTAAACATAAAGACCGAACAACGACATTTGACACACCAACGTGGTCTACATGATACCATGTAAAGATTGCCCCAAACAGTATATAGGACAAACACCCAAGAAAATTGAAACAAGACTCACTGAACACAAGAATGCCATCAAACGACGCGACCCAAAATCACTACCAGCAGAACATACCTACGATACCAACCACACATTTGACTGGACAAAAACACAACTTCTTGGACGCGCACAGACAAAACACGCACGAGAATTCAAAGAGGCATGGTACAGCAAAGACTAAAACACAATAAACAGACGTATTGACATCCCCATCATCTATTCACAGCTAAAGACAAAACCAAAACAACAAACTAATCACACAACGACTAAAATAAAACACTCGAATTTCATTAACGTAATCGATACAATCGAAACCATGACAACGCATCTTATACCATCCAATAATATCAACTCAACTACTAACCAACGAATCAGACGCTCCAAACGCCTACAAAATCTTTGTAAATAATATATTCTTACATTCTGGCGAAGGCTCGAAGCACCGAGGTGAAAGCTTAATAAAAATTTAAAACAAATCCAGAGAATCCTTATCATTATCATAATATGCCTGGGTTACCAATTTTCAAATATATATATATATATATATGTATCGCTTCGGCATAAATGTAAAAAATACAAGTCATATCAGGTGTTGATTTTTCGGTTGAGTAACAATATCACATATCAAAGGCGTCAGAAAGTAGTTTTAAAAGACAAGCTGTTGAAAATTTAGAATTTATATCAATGAATGCTTTTCAGAATCAATTTTAATCACATTTATTACAACTTAACAATAAAGACACGTGAGCTAACTTTCGCCTCGTGTAATACATGCAGGCACGTTCGACAAATAAGTGTGAATTTCGCTATGTTTGCGGCATTTTTTCCTGAGATATAGACACTATATTAAAAAGTACCCAAGTCCTATAATTCAGAACGCCTACCAAATTTTTGCTATGTGCATCCTGATTCAGTAAGGGTTATGTATTTGGTCGTTTCACTGAAGGGAGACATCAAAGCATTTTTTTGCCATCTGAAACATTTTGTAACGTTTACTGTTTTTTATTTATTGAACTATATAATGACTATATTATATTATATATTTAATATATAATGATATATTGAATTGTATGAGGAGACTAACGAGTGTATACACTCGTTAGTCTACTTCATTCTTTTGTCAATCTAGTTGCCATATCTTTGTGGATACCCACATGTACGCTTTCGTACCTATTTTTTGATTGTTATAACATGTTAAAATCTTCTCTTGAGTATTTTCAATAAAAGAATAAGCTTATTTATATTCCTTTCAGATCAAGTTTTCGTTTAATGCAAACTGCTGCAAAAATGATTTGTAAATGGCTCTTTCTCGTTTTAGATTAATAAAGCAGGGCAAAAACAAAGACTGTGACAAATTGTCATCAATATCAGATGCAAATTCTTAGTCATCTTCATGGGGCTTTCCATTTAAAGAAAAGAAATGTGCAAATGGGAACTAGATAAAAGAGTTTAGGATTCCATCTACAGTATGTTTATTTTAGTAATTAATGGCGTACGTGATTATGAATAATTGATTTACTTCAAAGCCAACTGGTTAATTACTGGTGTTGTTTGCCTACTACACCATTTAATACCTAGCTTGAAAGACAGACCTTTATGTAGAATAGATTAACAATGAACATTTATTGGAGGAGGCAAGCATGGTATGAAAAGATTTTTAGATGAGATAATTGTTGTCTGCAAAGCACCCTAGGTCATTTCTTTATTTTTTAATGTCATTACTGTAAAATGGTTTAAGCCAAACCAGTTTCTGAAACGGTTGGAGGTCTTGATGAAGAATCTGCCACAACACTTTTTGTGTTATCAGTTATCATATAATGAAGTACAGAACATTCTCATTTTTGTTTTAGGGACAAGACATTGAGAATTATCTGTAGACCAATAACAATCAAAATTTTTCTGACATGGCGTATTAATAGGTTTTCTTTTCTTTATAGTTTTCTTCTTCTGTAAATGATGAGTTGAAGTTGGGAAAGTTAAAAGAAAAACATAGAGATAATTTTACCAGAGTGTTGTGATGCAATTAAACAATACACAATGTATCCAACAAAAGAAGAGAAAGACAAGGTTGCATTTATGATGATTGAAAAGTACCCGTTTCTTGCTGATTCTCTTGGAGCAGGCTTTGTAAGTATTAATTCATTTAACACTTACAGTCATAATTATAAATCTTAAAAATAAGAAATGGAGATCTGCATTTTTCAAAAGGAGACCTATTTTTAAATTATTTTGTCTTATGTGTGTTTTCCAGGTGTGTTTATTGCACTGTATCAAATTTTTTTTTGAAAATGATTTAGTCAAATCTTTCTTTGCCATTGTTGTCAGTATTGTATTATCTATGAAATGAGTAGTGTTGATTAATGTTATCATATTCATAAACAGGATTATTTGTCGGCAGCAATCGACAACCAATTCAAAAATATGAGAAGGAAACCCCGCAATGGCGCCAATGACTGCATTAAGAAGCAAACATTTGGTACTATTAAAAGCCCAATGCTGAAAAAATGAAATATGGGTGGTGCACTACAACTCAATGATGGCAAAACAGATGAAAAGAACAAAAAGCATGTGGAAAAGATGAAAGCCACATGCTCCTTTCTCAACACTTTTGGTGTGAAAGAAAAGTGTTGTTTTAAAACCAATATTAGTGGTGATTCTGCACCGTCAAATCTAATACTAGTCAACACCACTTTGGGTGTTGCATATAAACGTGTTATTATAGCAACAATATGAGTGTTAAGTTTTCTTAACCAGAGTACTAAATTAATACTAAATGAGCAAAGTTTGCTGAAGTTCGCGCAAGCGTCATTTAAGAAACTATACAACACATACCGGAAAAATTAAAAGTGATTATGGAAAAAATACAATGGCATTGAAAATGTATGACATGCCAGGGCCGCGGAGAAGGGGGTGAGAGTGGAGGGGTAAGGGGCAATTGCCCCCCTTTTTTCCTTATCTCTTGTTTTGTAAAGTGTAAAAGTATAAAAATCCGCTTTAACAAATACTTGATAAGTATGGATGTTTAACAGTAATTTATGCCACACTTATGTTCCACTTTCATTTTTTACTTGACGTTAGATTGATCAATTATAGCACGTTTAGACTGTTAGCCAGAGTACGATACCCTGGTTCGTGCAAAAATTTGCAGACCCTTCACACTAAGTAGTACCCACTAGCTTCGTCTATTTATAATTTCATGTTTTTCTTTGTAAACAAGTTTGGAAACCATGTGCTGAATACGTGCCTCTGTACACGTTGCTCAGGTGTCGTCGTTCACATTGGTGCCCGTGCTGGAGCACTGTACTTGCGTACTACCTCTTGTCCTTGTGCCCAGACTTGGGCACTTATCCACGGACACCATCAAATTGTTGTGTTCATATTGGTGCCCGGGCCTGAGCACCGATCCTGGGTACTCACTCTGAACGCACTATAATAAACTTTACAAAGGAAATCAAACAAATTTTGTATTATAAACGATTTCTTGTAAAACTGTTAAAAACAACTTTGTAACAACAATCCGATTCTGCGACATTCTTTGCCCCCCTCATTTTCCAAACCTCTCCACGCCCCCTGACATGAGCACGAAGTCAGAGAAGGTCAATTAGGCAAATCGTTTATTACATTTCACACAAATTCTTTCTGTTTTTCTGTTCATATCAGTTATTTGAAAGCAGAAGGCGAGAAGTTGCAGTAGTTGTTCAAACGAGATATATTTTAAAATGTGATCTTGTGCTAAATTTTAACCATATTCAGAAAAAATGACAATTTATTGTTTTTACTACAAACTGTACAATATAGAGATCGATGATATAGAAATCGGTCGGTTAGTCCGCAAGGTAGTCCCTCTACATTTTTGCAGTATAACATATTGTTAAGCCACAAAAATCATCATTTGACTTGAAAGAAAAAAATTGCACAGCATTTAATGAATTTTTTATACTCATTTATTTCAATCCTTTCGAACAGTTGTTTGTAGTTTTTATCTACTTTTTATACGTAAAATACCAAACTCCTCAAAAACAGTATATCATTATCGTTACATTTATATCGTTACAGTATATCGTTACATTTACAAAATAGTAAACTCCTCGACAATAATACGACAAATGGATCCAAAACAGGTGAATGCATTACCAGGATTGTTTTCGTATCCTTTCTGACTGCATTTCCCAACAGATAACCCAATGCTGAGTGAGCCTGCAGAAATACCTTCACATATTCCATCCACCACTCCTGTTCGATGATAATTAAGACCTATTAATCCAACTGGATAATTGATGGATTCTATTTTTGATGACAAGGTACATTCTTTTTCATTTATTGTGATAAACCAACGGCGACATGCATTTTTCGAGCTGACTACTCTCATATCTCCTACATAGGTCATGCGAAGTGCTGTGTTGCTGCTTTTCTTTTTGTAGCTGCATGTCTACAAAATAGAGAAATATCACTAACATATGTGTATGGAAGGCAATGATAAATTTGCTCAAAATTCTTTTTATTGCAATTTGTTTTATTGGTAAGAAAACGAATAGTTTCTCATTCTGAACATTAATGACTACATTCACTTTAAAATATCATCTTTGCAAATATCTACATATCAAGAAATATGTTTCTCATCTTTGCATTTGCTTTGCTAAAAATAAAATTTACTTTAAATATTATCCAATCATTCAACGAGTATAAAAAAACATTTTTTAATTAAAGTCATTGAAAAGCCCAAATCATTCAATACAATGGTCCAGTAGCATAGACCTTAGTCTGAATAATTCCTGATGTCATGCCCAACCTCATCAAATAACTGTTTAATATTTGAGCATTTCTACCGAATTGCCAAAGTTCTTATGGATGAAAAACATGATTAGATTGTGAAAACTAATGTAAATAGTGCTGTGTGATTTCGAGAGTGTTATTGATGTTTTGCAGTGAAAATGAATTCTTATAGCAGCTGAGAAAACATGCAGAAAGACTTACAAATCTGTCCGTAAAACAAACATTTCCTTAAATGCTAAACTAATATAGAAACGATAGTGCCATTGTTCTCATTAATATTTACGCTTTACATCAAGGAAAATAAATTACCAAGCATTACAACTAGAACAATTAAAAGAACTTTACCAAAATTTGTCCTTCATCTGTGTCGTCATTGAGTGCAGTATACGTGCATTGTTTTATATTTTTCGCTGGCATTTTATCATGAGATGTCATACCTCCACTGCCACTTGGTCCACAGCTACAAGTACTTGTACACGTTGTCTTTACCTAAAAATGAATTTTGTGCGTTTAAAAAGATGTTGCGTATGACGTACATCCGATTACTTTAAGAATAATGGAATGAATTTTTTTTCATAGGTTTATCATAGATAACTATGGAATACTTAATTTCGTGTTTTCGCGTCTCTTTTAAATTTTGCTGCCGAGAAAATTCAACATAAAGTTGAATCCTTATACGCCATTTTTGAAAAAAGGCTTATGCTAAATTATGGCAGATTACATTACTAACGTCATTGGATGGTATTAACTGAATGACACAATATAAAATAATAGTATTATAATAATATATAGCACATTTGTTCACTGGAATTTTAAAACAAAAACAACAGTCGGCGGTTGTTAAGATTAACAAAAGTTGTGTGTATATCACGCTTATATACTTTTCCAATATTTAGTCGTTATAAGACGTAGAAACGTTTATTTTAGCAGATCTTACAACTAAGCTTTCGTGACATACTAAGTGTAAGCCCAGACAACAATAAACGTGTCTTGTACACTGAACATTTCGTGCGATAGAAATATTTCATTTTCCCATATTACAAACCCGTGACCAACAAAAGAGTTACACGTTTAATTTATTATTTATATACATAAGAGTCTTTGCGAGATTATGTAGTTTTATATAGGTGATAAGCTCTAAGCTGCTACGTTTTGTTCTTGACTGTAGAGTTTATCTGTAATGTTTTACGTGCGTGTTTGCGTACACAATGTACAAGTAAACTATTCGAATAAATTTATAACTTATGGATGAATACAAGTTTTGGGTGGATCACTCATGCATTTTGCTTTTGCGCAGTTCGTTACAATCCTTCGACAATGATTTGGCATCGCAATTGCAGATCATAACAAAGAACATCAAAGAGCGTCTGTCTAAGACTTTAAATTTACGGTCTTTCGTGATAATATGCGTATTTAAAATGTGTATAAAGTCCGTCTGGTGACGCGAAGCGTTTTCGTTTGCTAGCATAAACACAAGCCGGAAATGGTCTTCGATGTTTATTCCCTAAAATTTGAAAAATCCACCTAAAACATCTTTGATATTCGACTAATCGATACAGCTTGTTTATTCTCTCCAGATCCTCATCAGACAGGGGCCAGTTTTCTTCAAGATGCTGACGCACGTCTATTTTTAATACACTTTCTGACAGCATATTGTCCCTAAATTCTTGGTGTGTTGTCAAGCAATACTCTCCTTGAGTTTCTGTTTGGCCTAGCAAAGCCTCATACTCATCGTATTCAAGCGCTTTTTCGTGGCAACACTAAACATTCGATTGTCTTTACACCAACTAAGAGTTTGAAGGCGCCAAGTATTTGCTCTCTCAAATTCAGTATCTATTTCATCCTCTTCCTCCGACAAGTCGCTCTGCTCACTCTCCTGTTCGGAACCGCTTTCTTCGCTTGTTTCGGCCTTCACTTCATGTTCATATTGATAGGGCAGAATTTCACCCGGTTGATTTTCGTGTATGTCATCCATTACAGAAAAAAACCCCGTAAAATATGCTTTAAATGTGTTGTAACGTCGTCAATTACAAAGTATATTGTATTGTTGTTTTGACTGCTCACCAGCAAATGACGTCACTACCGCTTGAGATGATTTTATCAAAATTTTATCCAAGATGGTGAAATTTATAAAATTTTTGCTGCAAATATCTCAGCAAAAAAATACTTTTGAAAAAAAATTTTTCTATTTTAGTTGTTAGACATCACAAAGGTTCAAAAATATGCCATAAAAGTTTTCGTTGCCAATGTCCTTTAAGACGTTTGAAAATCTTACAACTTCACGTTATGCTGTATAAGTATATTGTATACAGGATTTTTGTTTGTTTGTCGGACATCACAGCTAAAACTATAGTAAGTAAAAACTATAAAATCCTGAATATAATTTTCAACATCAAACGGTGCCATTTTAACTCGTAAAACGTGATAAACCTACCTCTTCAAAACTAATTCCTGCAAAAACAACAATCATCCACATCTTGAACATTTTTGCGTGTTTTTAGTGTTTTGACTTCACGTTTTTACTGATTTACAATTTCCACTAAGCAAAAACGATCTAATGTTTGATGGGCTTCTCGTCTCATTTTATCTTGTAAAAAGACTAACTAAATTTCTGCTGAAGCGGATATGCATCACAATGCACTCAACACAATTCTCATTTACAAGTGACATTGCATAAAACATGTTAAAAAATATTTTGCTGAAGCACTTTATGAATGACATTTTCCGCACAACAGATGTATTATGTTGGCATTTTTAGACAAATTATAATTATGTTTATACGCGTAAGCGTGTGTCAATACCATGTAGTAACACTCAGTGAATGTCAATAACGCCATATATATAAAACAAACCTTATTTTTCATGTTAGGAAAAACAAAAATTCTTACATAAGTTTAAACATATGAACTATAACGTTACACAACAATATGTTTTATTAATTTTTTTGAATCCCAGATACTAATAAATCTTTATTTTTCTTCTCTAAAATCTGCTCCTTTTCTATTAAAAGAATAAAAACGTTTGACAGAACGGAATATAAATAGGGTATTATTATAACTATACCTCAAAATAAATACATTGAAAAACTTTTCAGGTTGTTGAAACGGTTGTCAAACTAAAACATTCTTATCAAAAAGCATTCTAATAAAAATAAAGAAATCTTTATTAAATCTAACACCAGCATAAGATGCAAATTTTATAGTATCGCATCATTTTAAGTTAAATTTCTCCAGGCAATTAAGCAAAATTAAGTAAGGTTATAATTTTAAAACGTACAAGCATTTCTAAAGTATAGTCTGTGTTTTTTTTTAAATTTTTTTAATATTATATAAAGCTTGATTTCTTTAAGAAATGCTTATCTAGAAGCTCCAGTTTATTGGTGGTCGGTACATGTAGTCAAAAGCTCTGATTGTATAATGTCATAGGAAATTGAAGAAACCTTGGAATGCCTATATATAATGAATTAGTAGTCTGTTTGCTCCTGTGAAAAAATCAATGTTGTGTAATAATAGTGCATTCATTATTAACCTTCATTATGTATTAAGGAAGTTCAAGAGTTGTTGCATTATTTGTGTTATTTGCATAACAAAAAATTACTATAATCACTGCTGCATAAACTTCATTGATAATATAGACTTGATGTTATTGCGTCTCCAAATGCTTTAAGCTAGAGCGTCGCGAACGGGGAGGTTTCCATACCCTCCAATCATGTCTGAAAAATTAGTCATCTATCGGTAAATTTTCGCTAAATTTAAATATGTTTACAGAAACTACCCACAAACTACGACCATGCCACGTCCCCTATGTCGTCAAATTTGTCGCTCTGACTGTTTCCAAAACATAGACTTCACTAACAGCAGTTAGCGACATTGCACACAACAGATAATATTTAGAAGGATATTTTAACTGGGAATTGGGGAAGGTTTTATGTTTTTCTTGTAAATTCATGTTATTATAATAGTCGCTTACCTTTCAATTTATTTCCTACAGAAAATAAGACAATTGTTTTTGAAACCTCAAGTGGCACACTTAAATATTCAAGTTCCAATTTCAGTCACATGTTTAAGAGAAATTTATAGGTAGGTTTCTTTAATGTAAATCTATCTAATTATGTTTTGAAATCATTAATTTTATCTTGAGATGAATCGGCAACTTATTAAAATTGCTACTAAAATTGAGCACATTCTAGGGTGATGTGTCATTGCCTTTATCGTCTGTTTATATTGACACGTAGATCCTTGTAGCTATTTATGGACAATCTAAAAACAAAAGTGTCTCAATTATTGTGATGTTAAAGAAAACAAGTTTATAATTAGCAATGATTGCTCTTCAGCAATGCTGCCACATTCAAAATACTCTTCAGTTTATTCACTATAGTAATCAATTGCATTTTTAAAAATCTTATCTTTTCTTTTATATTTAAACACCATTCAGTCTGTTCCTGGTTTTGAGACTTCTGACCCTATACCCACTACGTACCATAATGTCCAGTTGATAATGTAAATCACGATAACATGAGTTGTATCTTTGGATAATAAATTTCGTTCACTTCCTCCAATACAACAATCAGTTTGGACAAAGAAAAAAGCAAAATTTCAGTGTAAATATTGTCCCTTGTAAAGGCAAAAAATGTCTGATGACGCAAATAATTTTTTCTAAATGCAAATAATTTCTGATGATGGCTTTGGAATAGAGAACAGTATATATGGAATATACCACCATTCACAATCCCTGATTCAATCCCAGATTCAATTAAATCAATGGTGGTATATGAATTCAGATGTGCGGGATGTAATTCCCGATACATTGGCAAAACTTCGCGCCATTTATCCACCAGAATCAGGGAACATACCACAACAGACAAAAACTCTCATATCTACCGACACCTTCTTAAATCTCACTCATGTAAAACCAACTATTCACTCTCTTGCTTCAAAATCCTCGACACTGCCGACATCTCATTCTCCCTTAAAATCAAAGAAGCACTCCACATTAAGAAAACTAACCCTGACCTCAAAGTTCAAGTTTTTAAATTCATCACAATATTTAGTTTATAACACGCTCGGACGCTCCCCATTAATTTATCTTATTTCCTTAATATTGTTGGAATTTATGAATCATAATACTTTTATATAAGCCTTGTATCATTTATTATTTCGCTTATACTGAAGATGGCATCATGAGATTTCGAAACATGTCTATTTTAAAAAAACTCGTCGTATATATAAAATGCACATTAGGAATAGTGCTTGCACGAAATTATAGACCACTTACGTTGTCAATGGGTTAGGATTGTTAACACTTGCGTTATTACCTCTGTTGTTATCTATTAAACCTTTTCTCATGAAGAAGGTTCCCTTATTTTATGTTTCACAGCTCGAATGTATTTATTTTATGCCATTATTATCAGTAATATTCCACTTATATTATATTTGATCAAAAGTTTTTCTTGAACTTTTGACAGAACAGCTGACATTTATCAAATTGTTTAATACATATCATGCAGAACATCAAGTGTTACAAATAACTGCATATATATTGCAATTTATTGAGACAATTCATATTTTTAAACATAAGATTAAGACTTGTATTATTAAACAATACTTATCTGTAGAAAAATGAGTTTCATTTTATAAGGTGATAGAAAATTTATCTTGTCTTATTATTGTAATTATTGACGCTATTATATATTTTTAAGTTATATAATTAGAAATGTTCACCCTTTGTTTTCCTTGAGAATGATCGGCAGTGCACCTTTTGTATTCCTTGAGAATGCAAAGCATAAAGAGTTTCAGCAAAATGGTGAAAGCTCCTTTTAAAAATAGAAATAGAGAAAAATAATAATCTTAAAAATAGAAAATGCGTGTATTTGTATTTGAATTCATTGCCGATCTGCCAAAATTTATAGTTCTTTTACAGTTCTTTATTTATACTTTTAACGCATTGTAGTCCTTAGATTGATATCCATCACAGAAACATATGCATACTGTTGTCAGTTTGTTGTTAATATAGCAGATATAAGCTCTTCAGTTCTCTTACGCAATGAAGATCCTGGTGATAGTACACTATCTGCAACGATTGGCCTGCATTCGTTTGCAATTCTTATAAAATCTTATAATTTCAGGATGCATGCAAGAAATTGCAGCTCTAGATCCAATAAAAGTTGAGGTTTTAAAAGTACTGATGAAATGGCAGGGAAAAATAAAACAATGCTTATATACTACATACGTTCAATAACGAAAGAGATAAAGAACAAATTTTGGTAATTTGTCAACCTTTTGTTCCGTTAGTGATGTTTAGCATGCCTTCCCTTGATATGCATCATCAATTTTACTGACAACAATGTGCCCATATTTTCTGTTAGGTTTTTGATGTACTAATCAAGTAAATTCTTAACTCACATTACATTTCTTGAGTATTTTTTGATGATGCTTTTACCTGATTTTTGTAATTGCTTTATGAATTCAGCTTGACGGGTATTATATCGATAACATGAAATTGATGCACGTCATATATTGTAAAACAGAGACTTTGCTGTGCCAAAAAATATTCTAAACAGCATATTTGCATAGCGTATTCTGTTGATCGATTAATTCTTAATGTGTCCACCACAGCAAAATAATCTTCATGGATTGATGATCTTTAATGGCTTCTGTAATTCTAAAACGTTTTTCTTTAAGTATTCTATTTCTCTGTCTTACAGCTGCTAATAGTATGCACACGCGGTACATTGCTTGAATTGCTTTAGGTACTGCTCTTTCTTCTTTAAACGAATATTTTGAGTATGAACTTTCATTTAAAAATCAATGGCAAACTTTGCTATTCAGTAAGATACATAGATGTTGGCATGCATTTTTTGATAGATATGAGAGCTTTATTAATGGATGGGTTTGGCAAGTATTGGTGAAAAAGAATTCCGACAGCTATATAAAAAACCTTGCATTCTGACTTGCTACTACTTATCTTAAGAGATTTTATGCTCAAACACTTATTGACAAATCATTTGAAAATAGGCTGAAACTTTAAAAGTCAAAATTGGACTGCCATAATGTAACAGTTGAGCAACAAAAAGCTTTTCAAGAAAAAACAAGAGACCAAGCAAATTCTCGCCTTTGCTACGTTTAAAGCAGCTTGTCGCACCAAAACAGTTTCCAGCCCCTGTCCAAGAGTCTAAGGGGCTGACTACATGAGCCTGGGTAGCCGGGATTCAGCCAAGCGTTTAATAATTCTGGCGAATGGAAACGATTCAATTTTCTTCTCGAGAAGTTTCACAATATTTTGATTTAATAACTACGCAAAACATTTAAATTTAAAACAAACAATTGGGCCTAACTTGATAATTACAAGAAGAATGACTTGTGCCATTTAACAAACAACTGTAATTTTTAACGTTGAAATTTTGCCTGCTATCATTCCCTCGAAATGATTTCACGCCTCACTGAATCCAGGTTAACCAGGATCATGAAAACAGTCTAAAAAAGCAAAATATTTTGGGCAGTGCTTTCTCTAATCCATAAGCAAGGTTTTCCACTGTCAGGCCATAAAAGAAGATAGCTTAATTGATTACAAAGAAAATAAATTACTTTTATAAATTGTGACACACTTCCCTTATTAATACGTTCAAATCTATAAGCCAAATCTCTACCAGTTGATTTAAGTTGGAATTTCATTATTGTTAATAGCATTTGCCTAAATAGGGACAAAAATACTAGAATTTCGAAGAATGCATTATATAGAGGCGTACCAGTTTGAATGTTGCTGACAATATATTCCAATTTGCAGTCCAGTGTAGAAGAGGACTTTATTTTCATTATTAAAGAAAGATTTCTCGTGAAGATTTGATGTTGCTTTCTATTATCATGATTGCCCCATAACTCATTCCATTTGTAAATATTTGTTGTTTGGTTCCAATAACGGAGTAAATGTTGCTCTTTATTCCTCAATAACAAGTTTGGTAAGAAAGATATGTGGGATAACTACAGACAGTAAAGTTTCGGCCAGTTCACATCATCTTCTTGTCACATTTCTTACAGAAATACGAGCCTAGCGATGAACATCAACTTTTTCGAGATATGTTTCTAACCAAGGTTTTAGATGGAGCCAAGTCTGGATTAGTTTGTTTTGTTAGAGCTGATGGTTCCCTGCCATTGTAAAGAAGAAACAGAAATTGTATGAAAGTACAAAAAAGAAAGTTCTTCTACCATACTAACTTACCGGCAACAAAATACAGGCTACAATTCTTCAATACCACAAAGAACAACGTTTCTTTTGCAAATCATGCAATAAATTGTTTCATTTGTTTTCACAACTGGTACACTATAAAAACTTAATTATTTATCTCAGAACGTTTTAAACAGCCATAAATTGCGCAAAACTTACGATTCTTAACAATAAAATTGCTTTTCTATTTAAATACAAAGTTTTCTTGTCTTCCAAATGTTTACGTGATTAAAATGTGATGTCACATGCAATGGAACTATACAGAAAACCGAAAGATTGCCGTATAAGTAAAAAGGTAATAAGTCACGTGCTTGTTAAATTGACCGTTAATAATTAATAATTAATGCTTAATAATTACATAAATATAACAAAATCTTTGAGATAGTTTGCTTTTGCTATGAAAAAAATTCAATTAACCCATTAGCTTTGACCATTTGCCAGGTTTTTCATTAAAAGTTCCGCATGTCTGACCCCGTCTTCCTCCTGCCTTATCCTTATCCACCACCAAATTGCATTTCCATATCGCTGATAAAAAGGCTATTAAGAAATAGGAATTGCAATAATTCTGCACAGACGTAACTTCTGGTCCAAAATTAGGACTGTAAAATTGAAAGATGTGAAGAAATTCAGTCAATTATGTTTTTATCAGAAACAAATCAAAATGAAACCGAGCTTGGGATTTTTTTCAACTCCATATAAATGTATTCCAAGGCTCAAGAACTAACATAAAGAAGACGAAATGCATTTATCGATAATGCATTTCGTAAGCTAAAATCTTAACTTTTGCCAGCTGAAAGCTTTAGGTTTGCTGCCTTGCTCGCCGTTGCGACAACAAAGAACAGTTCAGTGATTTCAAATTTAAGATGGCTGCCAATGTAAGACCATCCGATGTGTATTATGTCTTCAAATTTTGAGAGAGTTATGGCTTCTAATGTTACTCAACGCAAAAAATGCTACTTAACGAAAGCTTTAATGAAATTATGAAAGAAAGAGCTTGCAATGAATGCGACGAAACACATTTTCCTAGTGTATTTGCACTTTGGTTCAAAGGGGAAAATTGGAAAATATCAAAGCTATGTGGCCATGGAACTTTTTCAAATTGCTACAAAATCACAAATAAACGCGGAGAAAATCTTGCTTTGAAAGTGTACAAAGCTGGGGCAAAGTATGAACTTTCATTTAAAAATGAAGTGCAACTATTATCTGATGTCAAGATGTATTGCAAGTCAGGCATGGTGCAAAATGTTGTGAACTACATTCATAGTTGTACAATATTGGAACGAAACTGTCTGATTTTGGATTTTCTGACATTTAATTTAAACCAAATTTTACTGATGAATGGTAAGAGCCAAATATCAATGAATTTTGTTAACCAACTTTTTATTGATATGCTCTCAGCTGTAAAATTTTTATCACAAAGTCTTGCAATAATACATGCTGATATCAAGCCAAGTAACGTCTTATGGAATGGCAATAAAGAAAACTTTGAGCTTGCTGATTTTAGTTTGAGCTTCAATGAGATGAAAGGACCAAATCTTGGACAGCAATTACAAAGTTCTGGTTTCCAAGCTCCTGAGGTGATTTGGTGGAATAATAACATAAAACAAGGTATTAAAAGCATTAAAAAAATCTTAATTGAGTAGCAATGACCGTGCCATATAATATCATATTTTCTGATATGCATGCCTGGTTGATTTCTTTTGAAAGTGGAATCCTTTTCAAAATAAATCTCCAAATATAGTAAATGATATGAATAAGCCCTCCTCAAGTGTGACTATTATAAGTAACTATTTTTACAAGACCTTGTCTAATGAGCTTAAACACACCCCTTTTCTGTGTTTTTGATTTATATATACAAGGTGAGAGAGAGTCTCAGTTCATCAGACCAAATGTAGTAACAAAAAATTGCCTATAAGGCCACACTGCACACCTCCTTCAGTTGTTTACTTTCATTAATTCCCCTATATTAAACAATATGTTGATTACTGTTTGAAAACATTAAATTGAAGAATTGACATTTTCTAATGAGCCATAATCGAAGGGCATAAGTTTAGGTATATTAGCTGATGTCTTAACCCAAGCCTTTCTGCCAATGGCAAACTCAAAAAAATTCATATTTATGTTATAAGTTTTTGAGGTTATATGAAATCAATTATTTTTGCATGTGCACTCGACAAAATATATATGAATATATTTAGTCGAGTGCACATGCAAAAATAATTGATTTCATATATATGAGAAGTGTGGGTATATATAATTTTTTTTTTTATCAGAAAGTGATAGTTTTTGCTGTTAACAAGAAACCATAATGCAAATGCAGGTTCTGTCTTCTACATATAAGGGCTCATTATCATACATGTTTTGGTTGTAATTCATATAGCAAAATATAACAGGGTACATTAACCTTGTGCAAAATATGCAGCCTGTAAAAATATTGAAATAAATATGTTTACAGTGTTAAAATCATTCCACAATTTCTTCATCAAAAAATGTCCTGATTCTGAGAAAGTTAATTGAAATGTAGCATGTACAATGGTAAATAATAGTATTCAGCAACCAGCCCACATTGTTATTGGAATGTGCAATTCATATAAAGTATCCAAGACTATTGTCAACTTTTCAGCAGAAAATAATGTCCTATGATTTTAAACTACCTTTACACGATGAAAATAAAATGAAACAGTTGATTAAATCTGATTTCAAATGTAGGTAAACATGCAAGAATTTTTAGTGTTTAAAATTTCACAACGATGTTTTTTCTGTTAAAATGACATTTTATTGTCAATTAATCATTATAGTCATTACTGTATAATGGTATTTTACCAAATGTCCTCAACTGCATTGTACTGCAATTGCAAACAATTATTTGTTAGTAAGCAAAAATTTGTAATATTCTCGCAATGAGGGTGTTTTTTTTTATATGACATCGAACAAGGTTGTTCAAAGTATAAAAGATTGTTGATCCCTTCATTGTGTCAATGCCACCAAATACCGTAAATGCTCGAATAAGCGCCCGGGGCGCTTATTTAATTTTTGGAGGCGAGAGGGGGGCGCTTATTGGAAGGGGCGCTTATTGGAAGGGGCGCTTATTTCATTTTCGGATTTTTGACGTGAAAATGACACTGGTATTTTATTTCTTGTGACCTTAACTGTAACATAAGTATGAAAATTTAGCAAAACCCGTCTTTTCTCGAGGGGCGCTTATTGGAAGGGGCGCTTATTTCAAAATTTGAGTCCTAGGGGGCGCTAATTCGAAGCGGGGCGCTTATTGGAAGCTGGGCGCTTATTCGAGCATTTACGGTAATTAACATTCTCTTTTTCGATAAAGCACGTGCTTTTTGTTCACGGGCTTGCAATGCTCATGCAAATTTTGTTCTTGCTGACTCTTTACGCTGCGCTTTTGTTTATTTCTTCATAATTAAGATAGCGACTTTTTTATTGAATAGCCAGAACATTTTTTGCATTCTGAAAAGCATGCTGAGACTTTAAACTAGTCGTTGTGAAATATTGTTATCTGTAGCTACATAGACAGTGTGTGGCACGTCTTCACGGACATGGAAACTTGGTATATTGTTGTACAAAACTGTTAACTAATGTGTTTAACCCGCGAACTCCTTTTCAATTTCCTTAAGCTTACCTGTTTTGTGAGTGTCAGATTTTAATTCATGTAATGCTTGTTGGTTTGTTAAATAGTTTTAAATGATCTCTTTTGTTGATAAATACTTTGCTATTGTACTAGTGGAGATTCTATTATTCGTTTTTGATGCGCAAATTTCTTTTGATATTCCCATTTTTATTACTAGGTAGACGTAGTCGTGTTGCCGATGAGTTACCTATTTATTTAGACAGCTCAATCGATCTTTGGTCAATTGGCGCTGTTATTACTTTTGTGTTCACTGGAAAAGGGGTGTTTTTGGAAAACAGGTCTCAGCAACCTGTGTTAATTTGTTCAAACTGCAAAAACGGGAGAATCAGCTGCTTAAACACATCAAAAATAAAAACAGTATTTGAAAATAGTTTTAATGGACTGCCGCACAAATCGTTGCTGGATCTTGTTTATTTTGTATCAGGACTTCTAAACTGCTATCCCAGAAAACGTTTCTCGCCAAGTTATGTTCTAAAGAACTATTCGTGTGCGTTTGAACGTACTCGAGCTGATGTAAAGGATTTACTACTTCTTCCTTGCAGAGTTCTTCGCTTTGTCCATATTTTAGTCGAAACTCTTCGTGAAGATATTGAAGATGTCCTTTCTGATATAAAGGAAGAATGTTTAAAATTTGGTGAAGTTGTATCCTTAAAAATCTCTCAAGAACTTGGAAACGTATATGTACAATTTAACGATGTTGATCAGAGCTCTCTTGCGCAAAAATCTTTGACAGGTAGATATTTTGATGGAAAAGTGGTAGTGACAACATTTTTTCCTGTTGAATTCTTTTATGCTAATAATTTTTACTAAGTCACAAGAGACTTTTAAGCTGATTAATCGGAACAGCCACTATACCTTATAGTGGCTGTTGAAATCTCTGTGTAGGTTGCCTTGAATTATTTTAATGTTGCCCTTGGCAGAAAATTTGTATTACTTTATGATTTGTCGAGATTTTACCTTGCGATTTCCTTTTTTTCCTCCGCATAAATTGTAAACTTGGTTTTTACCTTTTTGGTTTCATATTAAGTCTTATTTTTTATTAAACATTGGCAGCATCACACCACCCAATTAAATTTTGTTAAAAATATTCGTGTCTGGGTCAACGTGCCAATGTTGTTTCCGTGTATAAAAAGTTAAATGTGCTCATCTATGAAACATCACTCTTTCACCGTCTTTTCGTACACTTTTTTCGAATCACTAGAATTACGTTGTAAAATCCAGGTGTTTTTACAAGTATGTTGCTGGGGCACAGTATATTGAATATGCAGCAGCATATACAGTAGAACTTCACCATTTAATTTTTTTCTCGCTCTGCATATCTGGTCACGCATGTGATTACTATGGTGGCAGCCACAGCCATTTAATTGCTTTTTTCGCCAATAGGAATGATGAAATGGCTCACGGTAGCCAGTAATCTAATAAAATATACAACAGCCAGTTCCACACAAAGTTGATCTACTGTTTATTCCCTTTATTTTGGGTAGGGGTCGCTGCACAATGTTTCAATCAATCTGTTCAACCCTTCTCCTTTACTAATAGCAACAAAAGAATAAAGAAATTAATTTAAACAATTACAATACTCTTCTAGGTACTTTAATATATGACGATGATTGTAGACCATGTACATAATGTATAAACTTTTCTGAAAACCCAAGAAAATGCTAGGTTTTTTTTATTTTCACGCAATACATGAAATTTTTAATAGCTTTTTTAAAGAAATCGAATGGGAAAATGTCCATTTGAACCATTTCACAAGTTTTTTTTAAACTTTGTTTGTGTCAAATAATAAAGCTAAGGTAATTAAAAACGACACCATCGAACGATCTTGCAATAAGAAATAGTATATATATGGAAAGTATCAAAAGACCTATGTTAAAGAATCATTATCAAGCACAACGCAACGCTTTAAAGAGGAGCTTCAAAAATGACAAAACATGTTTTTATGATGCATGAAAACCCTTCTTGACGATGATTTTTTGGCAACTTGCACCCCAACTTGGCTACGCGGCTTGTACTATCGCAACCGCTGGCAAACAATATCTGGCAACCCTGCTGTTGTGATGTCCTACCTACGTAACCAGCATCACACTTGCATTTGAATTCATAACGGAACTTGTAGAGAAAGCAGGCAGGACATCTTTAGGTGTCGGTAGCAGTATTGTCCTCGTTCAAAATATGCATCTTAACTTAACCGCGTATAACGTCCTTTCAGTTGTATTCTTTAACGCACGTTCAAAATTACTTTCGGCAATCAAACCTATCCGAGGTAGGTTTACGTAAACAGGACATTTATGTGATCCGACAAAGATATTATTGTCAAAGCTATAAAAGAGTTTCTCGATAAATCTCCCGTGATAGCCATTTGACAAGAAAATACTTTTTAGCAAAAAGCAAAACTTTCCGCGTGGCTTGCTGTGTCCATCTCATCTTTTGCAGACAACACACATTTGTCATCCTTTTTTATCTTAAGCAGTTCATTATGTTTCCAATCATTTAGCAAATGATTGTTATGCTCTGGGAGAGGGCAAATCAAGAATGCAAATTGGAGTGGGGATGAATATTTATACATTGAGCACTGCTCAATTTTTGTTTTGAATTTCACCCTTCCTGATAAAAATATTATTGCAAATATAACAAAAATACATTGAAATATTGATATTCGCTTCCCTCTCGATTCAAAATAACAGGCGAGTACAAATCATGTAATGTACCTGATAAGAACTGTTCTTTGAGTAGTTCAAAGTGTTTTCATCAAAATTATTCCAACAAGATCATTAAAAAAGCATAAGTTGCCAAGACAATGTTGCAGAGATACCTTGTTTGTTTGATTGACTGCGGAGAAATGATATAAGGGGTCATGTGCCGGTAAAGAAAAATCAAGCACTCTTCAAAATATCGATCATTATGCAAGACAAACGTTTTCAAAATCGTCGTTGTATTGTATTTCGATATGTTAAAAATGACCAACTGTGAGCCATTTACTCGAAGATTATTCTATGCGTGTGGTTGATGTTCATCAAATACGCACGAAGTACGGTAAATTTCACGAATTGGTTGTTTGTCTTCGAGGAAAGAAGCATTTAGTGATCTGAATTATATTAACTCCCTTCCCCCTTTCTTTCTTGTAGTCCGAATGTGTAGAATTGTTAGTGACGTAGCACAATTACAAAATTTAAGTCTCTTAGTTGCAAACACAGCACAATAGCATGTTACTACTCATGTCGTGTTAATAAAACTAGTATAAAAGTATCGATAACTCAAAGACACGAAATGCTCCACGTGTAGGTAAAAAATCGCGGGTATGAGATTTTAAATACTTTTGCTACACACCAAGTCTTGTAAACATGGATATTTTTTAATGTTGTCAATGAATAATGTGGCAACTTTTTCACCACAATCACATCTTTCTTATAATCTCATTTTACAATAACATTATTTCCTAAATATTGCTATGACGATAATATACGTATACGCGTGAACATTGTTAGGGTATATATGCAAAAGGATACTAAAGTACGTTAACAACGTTGTAATGCAGTCCAGAAATTTTTAAATAATTTCATAAAATCTTCTCATTTTTACAAAATACTTCAAAAAATCGATATTAGTTGATTTTACTATAATTTAAGACACAGCAAACGGCTACAACTTGTAGTAATAGCGTGTACACACAAATTAAACATTTTTAGTTAAATTATCAGAATTATTACCAGGAAGAGACGACTGATAATGAACTGAAGGAAAACTCTCACGCATCAATAGCATGAACTGCCTTTCCAAGTTTTTACCATTCTCAAAGATGGAGGAATCGGACTTGAAAGAAAATATATACACACAGATTAAAATTAGAGAGTGAAACAACAAATCTTATTGACCTTTCGTTCACCTTTAGCAATATGACTACACCCCCTCTGTTTTGCCCAGTAACTGCTAAGATACTTTGAATTTGTCAGTGTTCGACGCATGTTTTTTTTAAAGCATTTGCATTTACCAAATGCAATTACTTCGGAGAAATAGAAAAGATTGAATTCCTTCAAAATTATAGTCAGCATTTAATGAGTTACAGACATGCAAGATCACTAATTTGTAATACATATACGACAGTCTGCTCAGCTTATCTTTAATACGCACCATAAGAATAAGTAAACTCAGCATTACAATATTAAATTAGACTTCAAAACTTTAAAATGACTTCATTCAAGCACAACTTTTTTAAACTCAAACTTTCAACATAAAATTCTCTTATGCAAAACAGTATGGCTCACATACCTGATTAAAAAGATAGCAGTTGTCAAACAATAGCTTCATGTCATCCACAAAATCATACACTGAATCGTAGTTTAGTGTTTGCAATTTTGTTTTGATTTTCGTGAGATCAATTGGATTCTTAACGATTTCGTAGTACTCAGGGACCTGAAAAACAATAAAACGCGCTACTATTCATTTTTTCATAGAAATAAAAAAAACCCGCTAAACACGTAAATCTATAACAGCGCAAAAGAACTATTGTTAATGTACCTTCAATAAACACGACGCGTTTTTTTAAGTTTTGGCATGGTTGAATAGGTCATGATTACTTATGGCACAAGTTTTGGTGGTGATATGATACAGTGATATCATAAAACATATTAAGCCATTAGGCCAAGCGAAAAGTCTTAACGGAGAAATATCAGACTGAAGTTTGTTTGCGCAGCCCGAGCCCGTATGGCAAAGTTTGTAGCTACGTATTAGAAAAAAGAGGTCCAATATTTCTCAAGGAAGCAAGGTAAATTAAAGGTTTGCTAGGTGGAATCATATGACCTAATACTCGCTGTTTTGTACGGGTTGGCTTTCACTTTTCCGTAAGGAAAAATTGAATCATTTGAAATTGTGTCGCCTGAATGATTAAACTCGAATTCCGAGTGTTTCTACTTCGACTCACATTGGTAAACATTTTTAGTTTCGTTTTTTTCTTGCGTTTTGGTGTTTGCTTTACAAAGTTTGTTTATATTTAAACGTAAAATACACTAAATGTACCGCTGATCGATTACAGGAAAGTAACGGACAGGCAAAAATTTTTCTAAGCCAATCAAAGTGCGCCATTTTACTGGAAGTGCCGCTTACCAACTAAAATATAACAAAAAATTACATTGCCACATTAATGAGCCCAGTATTAACTCAAAAAACGTAAATTCGAAAGAGATGAAAATAAATCTCGAGCTAAGAATACTTGACAAGGCTCATATTAGTTTACCAATAAACATTTCCTGGATATGTGATCAAGACTACTAACTCTTAAACTGTAAAGAGACTTTAGACAGACTTAATAAACTTTGAGCATTGGCAACTGAGATGTTTCACAAAGCTAATAATAGAAAATACTTTTTAGCAGCAGCAAATCATTGGAACTTCGTAATATGTAAGAAAGGGCAAAGTATAATTTGAACAAACACGTGCACAAATACCTTTTTATGATCTACAGGACGCGCAAAAGGATATGAATCATCGGATACCCATAGTTCTGTTAACAATTTGTCACAAAGCTAAAATACAAAAAGTAATCATCAAAAAATTATCAAGGTATTAAAAGATACTATATTAAAAGTATGCCACAAAAATACTTCATAATACATTGAATAAATTTTTCTGCTTGCATTATAACTGAATACTCTTTAACACACAGTTGTATGTCGCACGACATTGTCAACACCAATAGACAATTGGAAAAAAAGCAGACCACATACACGTAATATATATTGCAAGTTTAATGAATAACGCTAGTAAATCAATCTTCTCCATTTTATTGTGCGTGCCCAGGAAATGCACTATTTTAGATTTGGTGAAGGAACTTTGGCTGGAAGAGACCAGCAAATACAAAATAAATAAATAAAGTAGCTATTATTTAAAAAAAAGCCATCATGTTTTCATAGATTTCGTGCGCGGAAATGGGTATTGGCAGTTAGATAAACATCGTGACTTACATTAAGTTCTTTAGATGCTTCAGTTCTACGGGATTTCCTTGGAAAAGACAGAAACTGGGAACTTTTTTCACAGGGTTTTCTTTTAACTTGTCTGTTTTCTTTGTTTTCTTTGCCTTAAATAAAAGTTTTAAAGTAAAGTAATCAGGTAGTCATTTGAATATTAAAAATAATTTACGGAAAGCATCTAAAATTAAGCAAGTTATTTCGAAATGTTAAAAATTCCTTAGTTAGAATTGATATAGTAGGATTTCGAAACGATTTTGTAGTCTCATCCAAAGTTTAGAAAACGCGTATGCTATTTGTATTCACCAATTAGTAGCCTAATAGGGTTGCCATTTCTCATCCAGGTAATTTCCTTTACATCAGTCAGGTGTTAATTGTCCATTTCCTCCCATTTGCTATGACGGTCCTCGCACTTTAATTCTTGCAATTTAGTAACTTTTTACTCAACAAATATATTGTATTTCATATTCTGTTGTTCAGTGTGGTTGCAAACCAAAGTACGTAAGGTATGTTTAGTTGCTTCTAATTAAAGGAGAAACAGCGCTATATCACTTACAAAAAAGGTAGGTTCATTTCTTCAGTATTGCATTGTTCTCCTTTTAATAGAATAACCCGTAAGTAGGCTATGTAATGTCACGTGTCACTAATTACAGCAATTGCATATTGCCAAATGAACAGGTTTATTCTATTTAGCTCGAACTGTGCCAATTGGGAGAGGTTGGATTGTATAAAAATCTAACAACGAATCGTGACACTATTTATTCGTTTGAAGGCAAGTGAGACCTGACCGTTTATTAAATATTTCAAAGAGTTAAGACAAATTTTATTGCGTTTGGTGATCCGTGAGATATGCTGACGTTGTCAATTATAGATTTGTCTTCACTGTTAAATAAGAAGACATCTTATTATTGTTGGAGGGTTGAAAACATAAAAGAAAAAAGTGATTTAGGTCTGTATGCGGTGGCTGTTCTTTAAGAATTTAAGAAACTTCAACCAACATTTGATGAATTCACTGATCAAATGTTCAAAGTTAGATTTTGTCATGTGCACGAGTCCTGAGTTTTCATAAAAGAATGTTGAGCACGGCTGCAAAAGCCTAAAGTAAACTGTTACCAAATATGGCTCGGAACAGAAAGTTTCAATGTAGTGGAAAAAAATTTCATAAGCATGGGTGAAACAAAGTTTCTCTGCTCAGAGTTTAGTACTTGCAGTTGAAAATATGTACATGGAAATCTTTCTTTAACAAGTCTTTGAACTTGCTTTACAAAATAAAGAGGAGAAACATCAGAAAGCTGCCGCACGTGTCATACGATATAAAAATGTTCTGGTGCAAAGTCCAGGAAGGTGTGGAGGGTTATGCACCCCCAAAAAAATGTGGAACTTATGAATTCAAAGGTAATTATAAATTTCATACTACCATACCATTGAGTCATACTACCGCAATTGAGTTACTATCATGCACGTCTTCATTGAAACATTACAACCGGAATAAATTACTAAATGCAAAGTAGCCTGCTACTTCGTCATGTCAACTCCGTTTTGGCAATAAATGGATACACAATTTATAAAGATTTGTTGATTATCAAAGGAAGTACGGTACAGGCATACAATATATGACTAATAATTCACCTAACTCTATAAAATATTCTTCAAAAGCTATTCGGACTTTTAATGCGAAGGTTCACTCATCTATAAGCACACAAATCTGTAATAACCCGAGGCCCTTCACATTAAAATCGATCTTTAACTAGGACATTGATACACCTCTCGGAAATCTGCACATCCTGTCACATTAAAATCGATCGACCCCTTCTATAGGACGTCTTGCACTTCATGTCAATATAATGTAAGATCGATGACGTCGCTTTTCAAGCGCTAAGCTAGTAGCTTGAATTGTTGATTACAAAAAAATGGAAAGAAAAAAATTACTGCAATCTATAGAGTTGCATGAAGTTGTCTTAGCACAGCAATGATGGCAATAAATTTAAACAATTTTGGTGGATAGTATCAAGCTCTTCAAGTGTTGTAAATGTGCCTCTATGGGAGCGTCGCAATATGCATTTGGTTTGAAACGGCATACGATGAAGCCATGTTTATTTTTTAATTTATGTATTCAAATAGAGATTGACTTATGCAAGAGAAGTAATAGAAAACACTAATGGTATTACATACTGCTAATTTCAAGTATTTTAGAAAACAAATTGTAGCAAACGTGGAAAGTGGTTTTGCCATAACAATAGCTACAATTTCATTTCACAAATTCTGTTGCTAATAAATGCTGCACGTTATTCAAAGCATCATATATACTCTCCTTAAAGTGAATGAGGATAAACAGACTCGAAGATAAATTTGGAATGTTTGAATCGCATTGTAAGGGATGCAAAATTGTAATGAATTACAAAATACCAATAGTACCATAAGGATTAACGCGGCGGGGATAAAAAAACACCCGTGTATTTTTCTTTTGTTGTCATTTTATTAAATAGCTAGTTTAAATAATAGCTTCATAAGACACATCAACAACTGAAAAAAAGAATGGTTGTACCTGAATTATCACGTTCAATGTACTGAGATTCGTATTGAAGATCTGTCAACATTAATGGCTCACTCAACGGCGACGCAGAATCACATTTACATGTCAAATCGACCCCTATCTCCAACTTTTTTCGATCATCATTCGCATTACTTAAATTACTGACAGCGACCAAATTCTAAAAAGAACAGTGCTCAGTACAATGTTTTAAACAAACAAAATACAAACTTTCTTGATTACAACGATCATTTTAAACAATTTCCTTGTGAAAGCTTTAATCTCCAGAAGTGAAACGCTCATTTGTCAAAGCTGACGTGGGAAATAATTTCATTTATAAGTTGCAATCAAAGACATTTGGATATCTTCAGGTCATGATTAAGTTTAGTATATAGTCAAATCATTGGGGATCCTTTAAGATTTTGAAGACATGCCACGTTTCATGTAAAAGTCAAGCTTTTAAATTTTAGCAATAAATATTTGAATAGGTAAATAAAAGAAAAAGAGCATTAAAAAGATAACTGGACCCAGGGTCGAAGCTGAAACGCTGGGGAGTGTTAATAGCAATTTTTCATTGAACACAATTTTAAAATGTATTCAAAACTGAAGTACCAGTTCTCAGAGAAAATAAATAAATCCATCCTTCAAGAACATTAGTGCGAATACAGTTGTAAAAGTAGAAGTTGCTGGCTTTTAACAGATTTCATATTTTTGTAAACTTCCGATTTTTGGGGCACATTGTGCGAACTTTTTCCTTGTCGTGTGACGATACAACGATGATCAGTCTATCGTATAAAACTAACAGCTTAAACGCATTTGTGCACGTAGAAGTTGTGTTGCTGGCGGTCCAAAGTTAGTAATTTGTACCAATACTCAATTTTTACAAGGGATATCATTTTTTTTCTTATAAAAAGGAAAAGATCCGAAACGGCGGAGAAAGTGGGAAAATTTATCTGCAAACGTCAACCAAATTATGGTGCTTCATCTACGTCGCAACTTTGTTCATCCTAGTATGACGATCCCTGCTATATCGTGAATTCTGTGTTCGGTTAAATGACTCAAAATTAAAGCAACATTGAAAGACGATACTGTTCCTGCAAATGGAGAAGTCAACCTCTGCTAGATAGATTTCCAGTTGGCAATATCATGACAAACATTAGTATTCTGATGTCTGGATGCAATATAAGCAAAGTTATATCGATGTTTAGCCACTATTGCAGTAAGAACATAACACAACCATCAAAGAGAATTCTTGTTTTAATGTATTTTGAAACATTGGGATATTTACCACTCTGGGGTTTGATTGAGGATATAAAAACAAGATGAATCTCAGATATGGTCAGAAGATGGGTGTCTTGATTCAATGGCTCACAATCCATCATGAAAACTAGTACACTTTGAACTTTTTCAGGTGTAGTGCTATATTACTGCATAGTTTCATATCAATTCTATTTATTGTGAGTTACTTCAAAAGTGGAACAACATTATCCAAGACTGTTGGGAAGGTCATGGGTCCAAAATCATGTTCAGCGATGCAATTGATGTGTTCACTGCTGCCATCAAGTCATCATTCTTATCACTGGTCCCATTTCTTTACAGCAACAATTCTCCAATTCAATTATTCTCTTTAATGCAGACTTAGTTTTGTTTAAAACAATCGTTTTGAAAGCGAAAGAATCCTCGGAGAAAAGCGGACGAGTTATAATAATAGTATTAGAGAGTTTCAGACTTGACTACGAGTACGACTACCGCTACGTGATTTGACCGTGAGGGTTCTGGGTTCGATAAACAAGTTGTTGTACTCGTACTCAAGCAAATTTTTGTTAAGATGACGACTACGAGTACGAGAACAACTAACTCAACTTTATTGCTTTATTTCTTGTTAAAATGTTCAGTAATAAATACATTTTAAGCATTCTTTACTCAAGATTATGTAAGCGTAGAAAACAGTGTTGTTTACGAAGAAACAAGACAAAAGTCTCGGGAAGTCTCTTTTTCGTATTGGCATTACGATCATACAATATGCAAATGAACAATTGAACGACGAAGCCTTTCATCTTTATGTTGAATTTGTAAGAAAAAAGCTCTCGAGCTAGTAATGAAAATACCGGATGTACGCGGCTGAATTATCAATTTCATATTTAATGAAATATTTTGTTTGTTCGTCATTTTGTTTTTTTTTTGTCAGACTCAGTACGTTCGATAGATTTTATGAAATAAAATTAGTGATACTGTTTTTCTTTGACAAAAAACAACGGCTCGAGAAACAGAATGAGTAGCACAACAAAAACAAACCAAATAAAAAAGCAGTGATTGCCAAAAAGATACAAAATGTTTCTGTCATAAATATGTAAATAAAAACAACTTCGCGATATGGCCGTACAGTTTTAAAAGCTACTCAAAAAGCTAAAATATCAACATTTCTGTTTTATTATGGCGTAGTAAATATATCTTTTTACTAAAATAAAAAGAAAATTAAATAATCCTCAAAAAATAATAACTTTTCGTAACTTCTAGTGTAGACTACCTGATTTTTTCAAGATCGTGTACTCAATTAGAAGACGGCTACTACATTTTTCGTCATTACGTCGTCCCGACAGCAAAATATCACGTAATTCGCGCGCAAATGACGAATCACGTTGCAGTAGTCGTAGTCAAATCTGAAACTCACCGTAGCATATCGACGGTGATCATCGTTGTGACGTCACATGGCGGCAATGAATTTCGCATGCAACAACAAACTTTGGGGGTAAAATTAGTCCACCTTTCGTGAACGTAGGATGGTCATTTTGATATCAAATTGCTTCTGAAGGATTGAATATTTTACTAAGTAAATAAAAGCGGTCGTGGAATTTTAAGTAAAGCAACTAAAAAATCATGCAAGCTGAATTTCCGTACTGTTGCATCACTACAATGAAAATGATAACAAACGACACTACAAAATTAAGCAATTTCAATATATACCTCTTCTAAAGGCAAAGTTTTATCCAGTGCAGGCAAGTGTGACAAGGGAGTTTTTTCATCATCGTTCGTTATTACATTCGAAGTCAACGTAGGAATTGAATTAGAAGGTGTAGTAAGGATAGTGTCTTCTTTTTCTTTTTCGTTCTTCGGGTGAATTTTTACTACAGAGTTCGCGTTGATTTCATTCGTCTTTACGGCAGGTAAACCAGGAAGTTTCATGACAGCTAAATAAGCGCAACAAACTTCATGATTAATCAGTGTTTCCATCAACGCACAAAGAACACATTACCTCTACATTCATCAAAGGTGGTTGATATGTATCCAGGGCGCCTGACCATCTCAAGAAGATGCTTATGAACGTTGATAGACACACTTAGATTAGGAGATGGAAACATTTGTACATCGTAACTGGCTATTAACCCGTCAATGATTTTTGAAAAATGATCATATCGTTTTGTTAAGAAAACACTATCCTGAGACATTAGTTCTTTTCCTACAAGATATTTAGTAACTTCATGTTAGTAAATCACAATAACGTGTAAATACATGAATGACAACATGTAGTTATAAACTGAAATAAACACTTAGGACTACAGCCATTCTTTTTGTAAGGAAGGAGAGTAATGAATAATTTTATTCTACAATTTTCAAAAAAAAAATCGATTCGAGTTCATTGTATCAGTTTCCATCTTTAATAAAAATATCATACCTACGTACCCTTTGTTACAATCTCTTCAATCGCTTCCATTGTTTGTTTCATTTCGGTAAAAACAGGCTTCGATACCGTGCTCTTCACTAATGAAGTAAGTTGATGCTGAAAGGACTCCTCCTGTTTATTTAAAAGTAAACTTAGAGCAGTAAAAAATCTTCGCACTTCAGATCTTGCACAATCTACAGCAGAACTAATATTCTCATCACTAGCTTCAATTCTTTTCTTTAAAATTTGTGCCACACATTCGAGATATTTCAATCCAACATCCAACTTTTCTCTTAACACAGAAGCAACTCCGTCAATGGGTTCAATAAAATCATGACCAATTTGCGATGGCTTCATTTCCTTTATGCACATACAGCACATAAATCCAAATTTATATTGATATTGAAGAGTTAGCTTGTGCTTTTTACATAGCTTTCGGGGAGTTAAAACTTTTTCATGATTTTCCTTCTTACGTTTCAAAGTGTGCTCTTTCTCGAAACAATCAGCGCAAAAATTTGTCATGCATTGCGCGCAGTAGTATTTTGCAATGTTTCCATCGCAGTATTCCTGGCACTGTTCAAACTCTTCACATTGTTCGTGTTCTTTTTCATTGTCTTTTTCGATTGCCTGTTTGGTTTCATCCATCTATATCACAAAATAAAACTGTTTATTTACTTCCTAAAACGAAATATTGAACTTTCACGTAAGGAGCACAAAATTGACTTTTGATTTTACAATATTCATTTTAGTAAAACTGGAAGATTTGGGATAATCACAGTTTTTCACTAAAAACATAAACAAAGGACGACGCATAAGCCGCCCACGTAGTCGTCAAAATAATTTGTTTTATCATACGAGTATTGAAATCCATTCGCAACAAAACGATGAAATCAAAATAATATTCCCTAAAATTTCCGGTAATCTAATTAAACATACGATATTTTTCACTACTAACAAAATACATATCAAGTTGTATCGTCAATGGTGGACAGCATTAAAATTAAAGAAAAAAAAAACAATCTTTTTTCATTTCATTTTTTAATGAATGTGCAACTTGCCGAGGCACTACCCGTTACCGAATTAAGCATAAATGTTAGGAAATGATAAACTCCCACAAAAAAACAACTGAAGAACATTTGATTTCTTCAGTAGCTAATTTTCATCTTAATAACATGATTTCGAAGATAGAAAACAATTACGTAAAGTAACTTAGCTAATAAATATCTAAGCAACTTTATTGCACTTCGTCCAAAGAAGAAAACAACGTAAAATACGATAATAGTTCCTTCGTAAGAGAGGAATTGCCTTTCATAATGTTAAGAGAAAAACTATGGAAAAACTACTTTGTCCCAATGAACAATTTATTCGTTATTGTATTTTTTAGGCAAAACAGGTTATTGTTTTGCCCTCACCACCCAAGAAGTAGCTATTCTAGTACAACATGCGTATCAGACCAATATCGTTCTCGTATCAAACACGTGTGGTTCTCTTAAGACTCGTGTATCAGTTTTGCATCAAAAGCGTACTTTTTGCGTAACTATTCGCTCCTTTTCCTAGCCTAGGCATGTATTTCTCGTTACAATAATATAATAATACTTATAAATAAAAGTTGTAATCAAAACATAATTGTCGCTCTGACGTATCTCATGGGTTACGACTAATTTAAACGTTTTCTTAAGGTAGTCGTTCCCCAATATAAAACAAAATGAATTTTACCATCTTCTTACAAGTATTGCAAAGGGAAACTAATTGAAGTGAGAAAATACATAGAACTAATTATAACTGGAAAGCTGCCTTCCGATATATCGGTATCTGGGAGTCAAATTTTTACTAATTTCTATCAGAAGCTTTTCTACAATAAATCCACCAACGTAAAATAAGATGTTTGAAATGAAGTCAGAATGAGTGTTGTAGTGCAGGCGCTAAAACATTGCAGTTTCTTCAACACTTTCTACGGTATCTAAGCCTTTTTCAGGTTGTTTCCTTTATTCTGAATTGATATTTCAGTAAATGGTGTCAGATGCTTTCTACTACGAAGAACAGAGATGATAGTGTTGATGTTCCCCTTGAAGTTCACACAATCTGCATTTTTTAATACACAGATAGCATTTCGCATAAGCATTTGTCGCAAAGAATACTTCAGTTGTAAGCAATTCGTATTATTGTTCCAGCCTTCCTTTAATCGAATGCAAGAAAAAAGAAGTTCAATGTGGTCTTGTGAAAATTTATAAGTAAAAATGTATTTGAATGGGTCGTCAGGTCTTGTCAAAACTTGTTTCCCCATCTCAAGTATTGACTTAATTGCAGCAACAACAAAAAACAAATCACAAATGTGCTTCTCCGGTAAGATGCCAAAATCTGTGACTCCTCTAAATTCGTTTATAATAATAATAATGTAGTAATGATAAGTAATGAGCTGTGCTTGGTAGTTTTTCTTCATACATTTTTCAGTTGATTAAATGCAGTGGTTGTTTGTAACCTCTCCCCCCTTGGTTTCTACAGTTTAACATATTAAGGAAGCAGCCTACCTTCGTCAAAGGCAGTTCTCTAAACTCGAATGTTTTGCTAACTGTTCAACACCTGCTAGGTATCAACATATCAAATTAAACTAGAAAAGGAGCTCTATCATAACATGAAATCAGAAAAGAACTTCAGAAAAATTTGTTAGATGTTATAATTTCCACCTCTAAGTAATTATCGACTTACTTTGTAGCAAAAATTTAAAGCTAACTATTGCATTGAGACATTTAATTTTACCATACAATTAGTAGGAATATAGCTTGTTGCAATAAACCTAAAAGATATCTCTCGACAACATAAGAAATATTACCATGAACTTTCACCCCGAAAACCTTAGGTAGGCTGACCCTTTAAAGAGGCGATCTCTGGTAAACTTAACTGTTGCTTCACTGACTTGAAATTTTGGGTTTTTAATGCTAAAAATTGGAAGCTCTATTGCGTCAGTAATTGAAAAACTTAGGGTCTGTGCACCTAGTCGAAAATATATTTTGTGTCTCTCAAATTTGATATGGTTGCTATATAGTTTGTTCCCAAGGTGTGTGATTGTTCAAACTATTTTCATTTAATTTGTTCTCTACAATTGTCTCTAATGATGCCAAGGTTTGCTAAAGCAATTCTACCTAGCTTTAGCATATGACAAAGATATGAAATAACAAAACAACCTCTTGTAAATGGGTATTTGTGAGACAATAGTGTCATAAGTGATACCAAATTTACAGCCAAGTTGTTGGAATGGGCAGATGTACAGATGTCCTATCGGCATTGACTGACCAAGCTTTCAAACAAATATCAGCAGTCATTTCCAGTGCCATCTTAATCATCTGTGTCTGAGCTGATGAAGTTATTTTGTTTGTGAAAAAGTAACCGATGGAGCATTTCCAATGGCTTCATCCTCCAACTACCAAAAACACACGAGTTTCTAAAAGTAAGGTATCTGGCTCATTGAGCACTGGTCCGCCTGGACCGTAGTCCACATGCATAGTCAACATAGTGATCTTTATTTTGGTTCCAAATCGTTTGTTTTTTAATAGTCATGGCATCAACTATCAGAAAGCTATACCTCTTTATCTTTTCTTACCCGACTTCACTAGCCGAAGCAGCAATCCGAGCTCGCATTTTACTGAAGCTGATCGTTTTCAAAGGGAAGAATTGGGAAGTGTGACTATTGGTCTTACGTACTTGTATGCTTTAGGAGAATGAAAATATAAATTGAGTGCAAACTCATTTACTTGGTCTCCTTCCTTATCGTGCACTGGATAGGCTGTTTTTGTAATCTGGAATAAGGATAGCTGCAGGTTGTAAAATGAAGTATGCTTGCCGGTTCTGTACTTAATACTGGTTTTTCTTGTAAATGGCTAATCAGATTTGCCATGTTTTGTATTTTTTCTATAATCGTCTTAATTTTTGCTGTAGTTGTTTTTCATTTTTTTCTTAGTTTTTGTTGCATATCTGAACTTTCTGGCTCATCTTTTTCATCAGCTCAGTCATGATGTCATGTAATGTGGCCTGGATGATGGACAAGCCAGTGCAGCAGACAGCCGGTCCCAAACCCGGATAAACACAGAGGGTGGACGTCAGGAAGAGCATCCGGTCCTTAAAAGAGTATGCCACATGATAATATGCCGGAGACAATCAGAAGAGAAGACAATGCTAGGGCATACCAAGTAAGCGATGCGCAGCGGCACTACTGTCTTGACGCTGTGAAAAGAATGCAAGCGAGACAGAAGAACTTGAGAGTTGCGACCCTAAACATCGGGACGCTGACTGGAAAGAGCAGAGAAATAGCAGACATGATGAAGAGGAGGAGGATCGACATACTATGCTTACAAGAGACAAGATGGACTGGTGGGAAATCAGGAGGGAAGGCAAGAAACATCGGAGAGAGCTACAAGCTGTACTACAGCGGAGGAGGAAAGCCAAAGAACGGAGTGGCTATATGCCTGAGTGAGGAATGGCAAGATAAAGTGATAGAGACCCAGAGAAAGTCCGATAGAATCATAACTATGAAACTGGCAACACCTGACAAGACGTTCAACATCGTGACTGCCTATGCACCTCAGCAAGGCTGTGAAGAAGACGAGAAGCAGAGATTTTGGAACCAACTTGAAGAAGTGACCACCAATATGAAGGAAACAGAACAGCTGATTGTGGCAGGAGATCTCAATGGGCACATCGGAAGAGAGAGAGTAGAGGGATTTGAGAGATGGCATGGAGGAAAGTCAATCGGAAGAAGAAATGAAGAAGGAGATAAGATCTTAAACTATGCAAGGAGCAAGGACCTCGCAGTGGTAAACACATTCTTCACACAGAGGGATGGAAACACCTACACGTACAAAAGTGGCCTTAGCCAGACTGTGATAGATTTCATCATGATAAGGAGAGATGACCTAGGCGATGTTAAAAATTGTAAGGTTATCCCTGGTGAGGAAATTGCACTGCAGCATAGACTGGTTGTGATGGATTGTAAGATCAAGAAGAGGAGAAGAATAAGAAGAGAGAGACCGAAGAAGATCAACTGGTGGAAACTACATAATGAGGAAGGAGATGAGCTGGAAAGTAAGATCACAGAAATGCTAATGGAACAAAGCATGGTGGGAGAGTGGAAATGGAATGAAACATACCCCCAATATACTAGAAGCAGCAAAGGAGATACTGGGAGTTAGTAGAGGTGGGAAATACATAGAAAAAGAATCCTGGTGGTGGAATGAAGAAATACAAGAGGCTGTGAAGAACAAGAAAGAAGCTTTTAAGAGATGGAAGAGATCTGGTTTGGAGGAAGACAGGGAGACTCTGAGAGAAATGAACAAGATCAGTAAAGAAAAGTGTGCGATTGTTAGAGAGAAAGGTCAGGAACAACTATACAAAGATCTGGAGCAAAACGGACCGAAAAGAATCTACAAGTTAGCTAAAACTCGACAGAGAAGAGCAAAGGACATTGACAAGATCACTTTTGTCAAGGATGAGCAGGGAAAGATAGTGATCGAAGATGAGAAAATCAAAAGGCGATGGAGGGAATATTTTGATAGACTTTTGAACACGAAGAACAACAGGAAAGAACTGGAACATCTTGAACCAATCCATGGGCCAGTACCAGAGATTACGGAAGATGAAGTGAGAAGACAACTCAAGAAGATGAAGAACATTAAAGCAAGAGGAACGGATGAGCTCCCCATCGAACTAGTGAAGAAATTGGGAAACACAGGAACAGAGTGGATGACATCATGCTTCAGGGAAATAATGAAGACAGGAATACCAGAAGAATGGAGAACAAGCAGAATAGTGCCCCTTTACAAACAGAAAGGTGATCCCCTAAGCTGTGGAAACTATCGAGGCATTAAACTCCTCTGCCACTCACTGAAATTATTTGAGAGAGTGATAGAGGCGAGACTGAGAGAAATAGTGAAGATAAAGGACAACCAATATGGATTCCAACGGGGAAAATCAACCACTGAGCCGATGCTCTGTCTGCGGATGCTGCAAGAGAAGTATAGAGAATTCAACAAAGAGCTACACATGGTTTTCGTGGACCTTGAAAAGGCATATGATACAATCCTGAGGAAGCTAATATGGTACTGTCTAAGGAAGCGTCAAGTCCCGGAGGCCTATATTGAAACCATCAAAGATATGTATAAGCGCTCTACCACTAGTGTCGCAACGAACGTTGGTGAGACTGAGAAAATTCAAGTAGAGGTCGGGTTACATCAAGGCTCGGCACTAAGCCCCCTACTGTTTATTATCATTATGGATGTAATCTCGGATGACACGACAGAGGACACACCTTGAAGTATGCTGTTTGCAGATGATTTGGTCTTGTGTGATGAGAAGAGAGAACATCTGGAAGGAAGACTAGAAGATTGGAGAAGAATATTAGAAGATGTTGGCTTGAAAGTTAGTAGAGCCAAGACAGAGTACCTCCCACCAAGTGGCTGCATAGGAAACATCAAGCTAAGAAAATATGCTGGACCCGGAAATACAGATCTACCAAAGTGCGAGACATTTAAGTACCTCGGAACCACCATCCATCAGGATGGCGGTTGCAAGACTGAGGTTGAACTACGGATTAGCCGGGCATGGAATAAATGCAGGGAGTTAACGGGAGTGCTCTGTGATAAGAAGATGCCGAAGAAACTGAAGATCCTCATCTACAAAACGGCGATACGCCCAGTGCTTCTGTATGGGAATGAAACATGGCCAGTTACAGACTACCTAGCAGAGACAATCAGTGTATGCGAGATGAGAATGCTCCGCTATTGTCTTGGAGTCAGCCTGGAGGAGCACAGAACAAATGAAAGCATAAGAGAAGAAGCGAATGTCATGAGTATACTGGAATTGATGAGAAGAAAAAGACTGCAGTGGTTCGGACATGTGTGCCGGCGTGAAGAAGATGTAGACATTCGGAGAGTTTATGAGATGCAAGTGGAGGGGAGACGGAAACGAGGACGCCCAAAGCATCGGTGGAAGGATACCATCAGGAGAGACATGCAGCTATGTGGTGTCAAAGAAGAGGATACCCAGGACAGAGCAGCCTGGAGAAGTCTGATAGAACTGGGTCTCCGGCAAAGACCAGCTACCCGAGCAGGACACAGCGGAGAAAGGTGACAAAAGGTGACCAAGTCATGATGTCATGTGGTGTTTTTTTTTCTGGCATATTTTTATTCACAAAACATTTTTAGCCGGTGAAATATCATCTGATTCATGTATATATAGTTGCAGCTTTCTTATAAGCCGAAGATTGGTAGATTCATCATTAGAAAGATTACTGGTATTTCGTATTTTAATTACGGAACATACTGATGGCACTGCAATTTTTTCAATTTTCTGGCAGAGGTCTTGTTGTCAGAAGATGCAGGAATGATGTGATCCTGCTGTTCAAAGTGGTTACTGCAAATGAAGCTATACATGGTTGCTTTCCATTTTTTTCTATTATCATTTTTTTTCACAGTTTTCTCTCATTTATGGAGCGCAGCAGGATCTTTAAAGAGAAACCTGTTTACATATTTCTGATTATAGTATTAAGATGGTGAAATGGTTGTTTTTGTTTTTTTATCATACCAATTCTTAGATTTTTAAAGTGGGCGTAATCTTTCATTGAAAAACACTGCAAGGTTGAGTGCAGTAACCAAATCTTGAGTTTTGTGCTAAACGGTTTTGTAACTCCTTTTTAAACACTGATTTAATGCAGCATGGATAATACCTACAAAACCGCATAAAGGTCTTTCTCATACCTATAGAATCGCGTAAGGGCCTGGATCATACTAAGAAAAAGGCATCATGCTTTGCTTCAAAGATCGAGGTAAAGTTAGCCTTCCAAGTATTTAAAGATTTCCCTGGTTCTATCCCATTAAACCTCATCTAATTTCATTCAACCAAACTCTACATCTTAACACACAAATCTCACAACGTTGTTATCATCACATTTTATAACATAACACTATGTGTAACATGTTTTACAAAAACTAATTATATGTAGTTACCAAAATTACGTAAAAAACATTAATCATTCATTTCACTTGATTACTATGCGAAGATATACTTAGTGACAACTTTTTCTTTGTGTTTGATTTTTTCTCTTCAAATCATTACCCTTATCAACTGGCTGTCCTTTAAAGTACAGAACTATATATGCAAATGCCGTGATTGCCAAAATTAAAAGAAGCTATTGATGAATCAAATGGCTCAGATAATCATGACACTTCTCCATCAAGTGATAGCGACGAAAATTAATCGTAACTAAACGTCTGCCTCAGCTCCGCATCAGCAGATAACATTGACCTCGGTCTGAATATTTTTGATATCATGATAAACCTTATCCAATAATTGTTTATTAATATCAAGGGCGAATTTTTTCTAATTTGACAGGAGGGGTGCAAATTTTCTAAGGGGGGGGGGCATCATTGTTCTAGCTAAAGGTGCCGGGGACTAGGGTTACTGTAGATATATACGTAGGCTTACAAGTGAGTGAAAGTTATATTAGGTTTTTAAGAATTTTTATAAAATTAAGTAAATTATGAATCCTAGTTGTATAAGTGTACCATACTTCCTATAATAATCAAAAAAGCTTCAACAACATGTATCCAAATATTGCCTACAAGAAGCCAAACACGAATACAAAATTTGCTTTCACACAAGACAAGCCATTGAGAAGAAAATAAAGGGCGAATGGAGTTTACATGACAAAAAAACAGTTTACTTCGCGTTTAGTAAGTTATTTCAATTTTAATGTTCCAATGAAAATGCGCATGGTAGTAATCCAATTGTAAATGATGGTAAGTGTGAAATATGTAAATGCCTTTGAAATGATAAGTTCTGAATTTTTGCTCAGTCTTATTGTACAATAATAGTCTACAGTACATAATACCATTTTAATGGGAGAGGGTGTGGTGGTGCGCACCCGAAGGAAATCCACCCTTGATTAAAATAGAAAATAATACCAAACAAAATTAAAGTAAAAAATATTGCATGTATATCAATTCTTATATTTTGCAATAATAATGAAATGTCTAAAAGAATTAACAATGAAAATGGCGTCACATGTAGTGCATGCTTTACTCACATATTGTGTGATCAAGCAATAAGCTTTTGAGAATAAATATATATCTAAATGTGCTGGCACATATATTGTTTGTATAAGTTGTTCAAAAGCCTTCATAAGCTAAGAATATAATGTTTCAATAGATAAACACAAAAATGGTTGACTTAAGTTGGTTTGTGTTAAATACAGTCTTCTTTTGCAGAACAATGCATGTATTTCACAAAGCCTTAGTAGGAGTTATTCACATATAAAGTACCACAGTTGGATTAGTAAATACCAAAAAATATAATACAAGTAGGGAAATGATTGATAAAATTAAACACAAAAAATTGGATGTTGAGAATATTTGATGGCAGCAAAGAAATAAACAAAACCAGTTGAAAACAAAATCATATGAAATAAAAACATCCTAAAACATTTCCCAAATCAAACTAAATAGACAAATGTGCTATGTGTTGTGTTGTGCATGCCAATAATTTAAAACCAGTTTAAAATAGTACTCATAAGCAGCATAAGATTTATGAAAGTTATGAACACATACATTTAATAAAAAATAAACAATATGCAAAAACAAATGCATTGAAGAAATTGTGAATTGCTCTTACAGATGAAAACAGCATAAATGTATGTACTGTATTATAGCACATGCTGACAAAGAAACAAAAGGCATTTTGGACAATTTGTATTTTGCACATTTTGCATTGAAAACATAACATGTTATTCATTAAAAACATAACATGGATATGAGCAATGAAAACTTGCAGAATCGGCACAAATTATGTCATTCAATTTTGAAAAATGGTGCATATGGTTTTCTCTAGCACTCTTTCAGGCAAGTTATCATATCCGAGTCAAATATAAAAGTACGTATTGGCTTAATTGAACCTCCACGTCAATAAAATTATTATAAAATGAACACCATTATAAACATAATGTAAAAGTTTTTGTATTTTGACATCTATGGGTGAAAACTGAGTGAAAACTTCACAGTAAAATTCCTTTTGACAACTTAATAATGACCTTTACATAAATATATCAAAGTTGCTGTTGTCTATCTGACAGAAAATTATGAAAATATTTTATCTGTCACAGAAAATTTAAAAATATTTAATCTGACAATTTATCTTTTGACTTACTCTGATTACTTATTGCTCTGATTTTCACAAATCATGAATTATTTTGTGTCGGCTTGGTATACTGTTGGTGAACTAAAATTGGCTATTTCCCTAAAGATGCCCAGCTTTTACAGAAATTTCATTATTATTCCTATAGGACTGTAATTTATACATGGCTTATGCAAAACATTTTGCTCAGACAACAGTATTACACAATGATGACTTAATAAGTGTTAGCGATTTATCAGCCTGAAGGAATAACCTCTTTACACTACCAAACTTATAGAGCAACGATTGTATCAAGAAGGCAAACCAAACAACATCTTAACATGAAGTAAATGAGATGTTCCCACTCTCACTGATAACGAACTGTCACTTGAGTGATAAATCTTTCTTTATTTTTGCATTATTATGAACTATTTGATCGTTATTCGAAATGAAGCAGTCTTACCAGTTAATGTACGACTGGGAAGGCCAAAAAAGTTCCTTTGAGCACGAACAATCCATTAAAAAATAAATGTGCTTTCTCACAGACTGAAAGCTCGTTCAGATGATTTGAGTACATAATAAATGTCGGTTAAATTTAAATTTTATTTTGAAAATGGCGCCATAAATCAATGCTTCCACTTTAGAATTCACGCTTCACTCTATAGATATAGAACCCAGGTTTGTTACGCAAATCATGCGGCCGCAACAAATTGAACATTAGAGACTTTTTATTATTTGTAAGAAAGTCATTATTTTTAGGGAATTTTTAAATTTTCTTTTTGTTTGAGTGTTATGACAGAAATATAATTTTGCATCTTTTCGTTAATCACTGGTTTTCATTTGTTGTTTTTTTGTATTACCGTTCATGCTGTTCTTTGGGCCATTGTTTTTGTCAAAGAATATCACTGATTTTATGCAATAAAAATTATTGAACGTACAGAGTCTGGCAATAAACAAAAAAAATTGACGGAAAAACAACGTATTACATTGATTAGCTCCTTTAATCCAGAGTCCTCTATTGGGATCCCAATACAGGGCTTTGCTTGTGATTTCATTTCTTGCTCTAAGCTATTTTCACTCAAATTCACCATGAATATGACAGTGAAGGAGTTTCATCTTTAAATAAATTAAACTTAGCAACAATCTATGGTTCGTTTTAATTCAACATCAATTATAAAGAAGTGAGGAGTGTCATATCATCAGCTTTATCATCTTCATTAATTTAAGTTCTCAGAGAAAAAAATGTTGATGATGCGTACATACATTTGCATTAAGAAAATAAGATATAGTTCCTTTACAAGGAAAGGTAAGAACCATTTCTTCATAATTAGCGGTTAATATCTTTCTCAAATTTTCCAATTGGCCAGCAAATCTAGTTTTTTCAACCAATAAACTATAATGTGCATGTTCTTTCAATAATTTTTTTCAAAGTTGGTGGATCAGAAGAGAGATATTCAACAAAGTGATTATTACCACTATTTTTTTGGCGAACTTGAAGATACTTGGTACTTACAGTGTCATAGTGATGCCATCGTACCTGGATGCTGTGCTCTTTTACAACAGACTTTTTCTTCTTCGCTCCGCTAGAATTCCCATTTCTTATACGAGCAAATAGCCCAGAAAAACGATTTTCCGTCCGATTTGAGCTCACTCCTTCTACATTCTGCTTGAGAATTTTGTCCAGTTTGAGTGTTTATTTCTGCTTGCTGCCGTATTTTCGTTTTCTATATAACTTAATTGGTTTTTTACCGCTTATTTAATTATAGCGTCCATGTTTTCGTGACGACTAAGTGATTTTAGTCAATGACCATATATAAAAACGAAAACTAAAATAACAAGTTTATATAAAATCAGTTAATAAATTTTTCTAAGCAGTCATCGTCACAATGAAATAAAAATCCCAAAATTCTCAAAACATTTTAGAAAAGTCATGAAATATAAACACAAGTAACGTAAAGCTTCTACTATATTCTGCTGCTGAAGTTTTCATTTCAAATTTTATAATGATTCAAAAAGTTCTGTTGGGGAAGAATAAAGGTGTGTACCTTGTTGTTTTGCATCATTAATTTTTATGTTTTTATAAGTGCATGGCTACCACGGTCACAATTAATTGCATTAAATTAGATAAAAACAAATTTATCACCCATATTTAACACACAATTATAATTAAGGAATATTTCTTATATTTTGTCCACTTTTACAACAAAATGAAATTAGAGCCTTTGATAAATGGCTTTCTATAAATTTTGACAAAAGTTTGCTATGCATTACGCTGGAATAAAGTAAAGCAACATGAAGGAAATTGAATAACAGTATAAAGCTTAATACAATTAAAATATATATTTAGCTAGTTTGAATAACTGCATAAAGCAAATGCAAAATATAAAGATACCTGAACACGAAAACAACCGTTGTATAATTAAGAAACAAAAACGTATCCCATTGATTTTATCTCTCTAATTTCCTTTTCTTTTAAGCAATAAGCATAATTCCCACAGCTGTTTACGCTTGCAATAAAGAAATTAAGATGAGCCACCAAACCCAATGAAAGAATCGGGTGAATAAGAATTATTTTCACCTTTTCCTATGATACCAAACCTTACACGAGTTAATAATCATCAACGAATTCAATTGTTGCTGTATCATTTTAAATCTTCATCTGTTTTTCACATGTTTTTGAAAGCGTTCGCTCACATTTTGTTCAACCAATCGGAAGTGTAGTTGTTGGTTCTGCTGTTTTTGAGAGGAAATTTTCTTGTAGGGCTAAACAATCCAAACTGTTTTCAATTATTACAGATAAAACTCCTGATAACTGTAAAATAAAGAAGTTATCCCTGCTTGTCCGTTATGTATGGAATGGAAGAGTGGAGGAACGACTCTTGTGAATAAGACCAGTAAGGGAAACTACTGCAGAAAGTCTTTTCAATACTGTGTGTAATAAAGTAAAAGAACATGGAATGATGATGGACTCTCCTGTGGGGCGACAGATGAGTAGGCATGCAGGTCTATGTGCGAGGGTGGGACCTCATGTGTGAATGGAGGCCAATTTATGATGCACACGAACGTCCGAAAACACTGTAGGGGTACGAGACAAGAGGGGCAGAGCGTTGCTTCCTTCCGGCCCTCTTCTCCTTGATGGCGGCTGCTCTACCGGCTTCGAAGTTCCGAATGCCCTGGGATCATAGATGCCTCCACTGCAGTCTGTCTCCCGCGAACTCCTCCCATGTGTTTGGGTCTATGTTGCGGCTCTTGATGTTGGCTTTAAGGGTGTCTTTGTATCTCTTCAGCGGTCTTCCTTGGACACGGCTCCCGTCATGTAGTTGACCATACAGCAGCATCTTTGGGATTCTGCTGTCATCCATCCTTACGAAATGGCCTGTTCATCGGAGTTGAGTTTTGATGATCAAGCTCTCAATGCTGGGAAGTCCACACCTTTCAAGGACTTCAAGGTTGGACACTTTGTCCTGCCACTTGAGGCGGAGGATTTTTCTCAGGCAGCGCTGGTGGAACTGTTCCAGCTGTTGTATGTGCCTGCGATAAGTGGTCCAGATTTCTTCGCAGTACAGCAGAACACTCAGGACCACCGCCCTGTACACAGCATTTTTGGTGACGATCTTGATGCCATGTTCATGCCAGAGTCTTCTCTTTAGTCTGCTGAAAGCATCACTGGCCTTTGCAATACGTAGCGTTACCTCTACGTCCAGGGAACCATTGTTGCTGATGGTGCTGCCAAGGTAGCAGAACTTGTCAACAATCTTGATGTTGATGTGGTTAAGCATGACAGGAGGTGGTGGTGAGGTGTCACGAGTCTGGGATGGTGGAAGCTGGACCAGGGTCTCAGTCTTGCTCAGGTTGATGGTCAGACCAAAGCGATCACATGCAGTTGCGAAGCGGTCTGTTATGCACTGGATGTCTTCATGGGAGTAGGCGGCTAGTGCACAGTCATCTGCGAAGAGACATTCACGCCGGAGTGCCTCGTAGACTTTGGTCTTGGCCTGAAGTCTTCTGAGGTTGAAGAGCTTTCCATCAGTACCGAGCTGAATGTACACCCCTTTGTCGAAGTCACGGAAGGCGTCGAGCAGCATCGCTGCGAGCAGTATGAATAAGAGTGTTGGGGCAAGAACACAACCTTGCTTCACACCGTTCTTCACAGGAAATGGGTCCGATGTCTCCCCACCTTCCTGGACTCTTGCCTGCACGCCATCATGATATGAGGCTACCAGAGAGACTAGCTTCTTTGGACACCCAAATTTTCTCAGGATCCTCCAAAGGCCTTCCTGATTAACGGTGTCGAATGCCTTAGTTAGTTCTAAGAAGACCACGTGGAATTCCTTGTTTTGCTCGCGGCACTTCTCCTGCAACTGGCGAATAGCGAAAACCATGTCAGTAGTTGCCCTGCCTGCCGGAAACCACACTGAGATTAAGGGACGATGGCCTCGGCGACATTTGTGATTAGCCTGTTGAGGACTACTTGGGCCAAAACCTTGCCTACGATGCAGAGGAGGGATATGTCTCGATGGTTGTCACATGAGGTCTTATCGCCTTCCCTCTTATAGATATGCACGACGGCAGCATCTTTGAAGTCCTGGGGGACCTTGATAACTTTCCAAACCTCCTGGAACAGGGATGTCAGTTTGTCCAGGAGTGCCTGGCCTCCGTTCTTGTGGACGTCAGCTGGAATGCCATCAGACCCAGGAGCCTTTCCAGACCTTGTCTGCTTGAGGGCTTTCGCAACCTCGTCTCTGGTGGGTGGGTCAGCAATTTCCCTCTTTGATTGGCAGCTGGGGGATGGACTCAATGGCTTCTTCGTTCATCTGTGACTTTCTATTCTGCAGCTTGTTGAAGTGTTCAGCCCAGCGTGAGAGTATGTCAGCTTTGTCTGTTAGCAGTGTCGTTCGGTATGCAGACCTGATGGAGGTAGAGCCTGACGATTTTGGACTGTACACTGCGCGAAGCCCATCGTGGAGCTTTTTTGAGTCGTGAGCATCAGCTGCCACTTGGATTACTTCGGCTTTCTTTTCCCACCAGGCCTTCTTCATTTCCCTCAGCTTGTGTTGCACATGCTGCCTCACTTGCTGGTAGTCTTGCTTATTCTTCTCGCAAGCTTTGTCCCCTATAAAGTCGCTGTGAGCCTTATGGAGCCTGTCAATAAGCCTGTTGATCTCAGCTCATTCTCGTCAAACCAGTCTCGATGTTTTCGCTCAACGTATCCAAGGACACTCGCTGCAGAGTTGTAGACGGCTTCTTTGAAAGTGCTCCAGTCTTCCTCTATATCCTCGCCCGTGATGTTAATGTTTCCCTGGGCTACCTCTAGCTTCTCTTGCAGCTCTTCTTTTTTGGGTGGAATGCGAGCTACATTCAACTTCCTCAGTGGCTTCTCTCTTGCTGATTTGTTCTTTCTGGCGAGCTAAATGTTCATCTTGCTCCGTAGCAGGCGGTGATCAGACCAACAGTTGGCACCACGCATGCAGCGTGTGATGTGCACGTCTCTGCGGTCCCTCTGGTGGACGATTACGTAGTCCAGCATGTGACACTGTTTGGAGCGAGGGTGCATCCATGTGTTCTTCAGCTTGTCAGCTTGTTGAAAGAGAGTG